AGGTGACAAAGAGTGTGGAGATTGAACTAAGTTTGTTTATAATGATGTTTGATGTTACTAGTCATGCACACAAATGAGAGACCTTGATGGTTTTAAATATATAAATGTTTTCTTATATATATATAATGTGTGTGTGTATGTGTTTTGTGTATATAATCTAGACGATTTTACTTAGATTCTTTTTATTATTGGATTCCATCACTTTTATCATAAAATATCCCTCATTGCAATAACTGAAGATCTGCCAAGAATGGTGAAACATTTTAACAAGCAGGACACAAATTTACTGTGGATGATCTAGCGATTAAAGCACTTTCTAAACTTTTTCACCTTAGTGCAGTGTCTTCTTTTTTAATTTCTTTTTTTTATACCAGAATAGTGATCAGTCTCATTACAGTGAACAATTAATATCCCTTTTGTGTTTATATAATCTTTTATTTAAATTTCTTGAGGTTTCTTCTATGTATTATTTGTGGCAATCATTACATGTAATAGAGTAAATTCCTCCTTCAAGTTTAACTGCTACACAATATACAATATATCTGCATCCAGGTTCATCTAATATCATGATGTGGGATATTTAAGTGATGGAACCTAAAAGAAAAATAATCTAAATGAAATCGGCTAATTACATAGACACGCACACACACACACACACACACACACACACACACATATATATATATATATATAATTATTTTTGAATTTAAAATTCCCAGCAACTCTTGTTTGTGTGCATAAGTAGTCATATCAACATTGACAAGTTTGTCTGATGAAGTCCTAAAAAACGAAAAGAACCACATGAAAACTTTTACACCATATATATATATATATATACACAAATGAAAGAAAGAACAGATGGAGTAAAATTCTACTGTTCATTCCATTTACTTTTTAAAAAGTGCTCAATACAAAGCAGAGCAGTATATTATTATTTTTATTATAAAAAATTGAAATCGCTACACAAAAGTTTTCATGTTTCAATACTTTGAATGTACTTCTCCAGTCAATGGCGTACAATCAGAATATTGAAACATGAAAGCTTTTGTGTAGCGATTTCGATATGTTTTTATTATATATATGGTGTATCAAAATTACTTGACAAACTTTGGGTGCAGGTTCCTCATACCAAAAAAAAAGAACAAAAGTCCATATAAACCCATGTCTGCAAATCCTTCATTTTTTAGTTATTACGGTTAAAGTTTACGGTAGACGCTGTTACGTGGACGGCGCAAGATGCATAAAAAACTTTTACAAACTTTGAAAATTTTTCAAACGGAACACTCCTCAGTTAACTCACTACAACGCATGTTAAACGTTGAAGACAGACTAGTCACAAATTTACACGAATTACAAATGTAACCTAGTCTATATGGTAACTCAACGCCATCTACCGTAAACTTACTTTAAACTTACTCAAAAACGAAGGATTTGTGAACATATATTTATATGAACTTGTATGGTTGTTTTGGCGGGAGGAAAGTGCCTCAAAGTTTGTAAACGTATTTTTGATACACCTCTGATGAAAATAAGGAAAATTTTCACGAGTTTGTCACCAGACTTGATCTGATGGTTAATTCCCGAAATGAACATCCAAAGTGATGACTAATCCTCCCCCATCTATTTATATAAGCAGTTCAAGAAATCCCTTCCGTTGATATAGGAATACGCAGAGATCAATAACGCGGAGGACTTCAAGCTTGTATGAAGATATAAGAACCTAGTGATCTCTGCGTATTCCTAAGGGATTTCTTGAACTGTTTATATAAAATAGTTCAATCGACTTTTTTAATATTTTAATATTTGGAAATCATCTTCGAATACGTTTTCACAACATCACCCACGTGACGACGACGTGATCATATTTAAACGGAACGCTGATCTTATATAAAAATTTCAGTTATCTGTTTGGATTAGTTGTGCTCTTATGTCCATCGTCTTTTCGTTTTGAATTTTTATATGTTCTAATGTTAATTATGTTTAAATGAAAATGTCCTGAAGATGGTCTAAAATAGACCGAAACGTCCGACGTTGACTTTATATTAACATTAATACAGCATAATTGCATATTAAGATTTTTGTTTGTTTTTTCTGTATATTTTTCTTCATACTGTCGGATCTATATCCATATATTTGCTTACATATATATATATATATATATATATATATATATATATATATATAATACAATAAATATTCCCCATTGTGATCGAAACCAATACCTTCTCTTCCACTTCAAAAAAAATATGGTCAGAAAAAATGTTCCCGATGGAACGATTTGGAAACAAATATGAAATATTCAGCGAGACATGGGATACGCTGGTTAACTTGACAGGTGAGAAGATTGATCTGTCTAATCAGATTCCAAAAACGTATGGGAAGCACCTTGCTATATATACAGACAGACACACAAACACACGGAAATGCATTTGTTATTAGCAAGATGATTGCCTGCCTCAACTCTTAATAACAAAAGAAACCACCCCATACCCTTCCGATCAACCTCCGCCATCATGACTCGCATGCCGACATTGCCATATCTACCGAGATAAACACTTGAGTCGCAATTATCATAGTCCTAAAGGAGAATAATATCAATCGTGGAGTTTGCCATGGCCACCTCATGATATGAGATTTGACGGCCGGGGCGTAAAATTAAATTTGCTTCATTTAGCGTTCAGACATTCGTACCCGGCGCACACAACAGTCTGTCTTACGAATACATCTGTAGATCACTTGTTCATATAAAGATATGTATTGCTTGCTTGATAACAGTCTCGTTTCAGTGGGTTTTAGATGTGCGTCTATTCGTAAATGCCTATTAGATGCAATAGTTCTTGGAGATTACTTGATAGATCAATTTCTATGTCACAATTACCAAGTAAATAGACTTGAAGATAATCCTGGCATTTGTAACAGATTCGTAGTTCATGTATAATGTAAATAGATATTTTTGTTGTTAGCAAAAGCCTTAGAGGATCCATGGTGCTTTTTGAAGTTTCGCAAAACATCAAACAGGGTAAGGGTGTGCGTCGAAGACGGAAATATCCAGCAAGACGGTCGAACGCCAAATGACAAAAATGATTTCTGAGTGGGAAGATTCGCGTATTCTCCTGGTTAATAAAAATTTTACATTTTGCAACCAACGGGTCACGTGCCCGCCGAGAATTTAAAAAAAAAAAAACAAAAACATGCTTCGTGATCCCTTTTGAAGGGTATTTAAACAAAGCTTCTAAAGAGACGGATACATGCAACAGCAGTTCACGACGGCGGCTTCAAAGAGATTCCCTTACTCGTTCGCCCCGCCTTCCTCATCAAGCTACGTGAAGTTTACACTATTCCTCACCCAGCTACATGACGCTTACACTCTTCCTCACCAAGCTATGTGATATTTATACTCTTTCTCGCCGAGCTACGTGATATTTACACACTTCTTCGCCAAGCTAAGTGACACTTACACTCTTCCTCAGCAACCTACACGACACTTATACTTTCCTCCTCACTTTCCCTCTTGCTTCTTTGATCAAACAACGCGTAAAGAAAGCATACTTCTTTTCACCTTAACAAATAACTACAAACAAGGAACTTTAAAATTTAGTTGTATAAACATAAAAATAATATTTTATATTTTTATATTTAGAAATATTTCTTGCCTTTTTTGTTGTTGTTGGCTGATTCAAATCCAAGTGTAAGGATATTATTAATCGTTTCCATATAGGAAACATTCGACATTTATTGAGCAGTTAGCATTACATTCAGCTCAAATATATAAAACCTTTCTATTGAAACAGGTTTTTGGGAACATAGGGCTCTTGAGTCTGTTAGCTGTTATTGCTCTTCCCATCTATCATACTTTCTAATTGTCATATAGGAAGAAAATGTGTAACTACCAACACCGAGGTTCGAGCCTGACACTCTGGACTTATGAATATTGTTGTGACCAAGTAAATGGTTTAAGAAATAACAAAACAAGTGTTACAGATATATATTAAACAGTAAACACAATCGAAGTGAGTAGTGAGTGTGGGTAGGTTGACCAGCGTTCATTTTATTTGACTGTTCCCCAAGGCCTTCTCTCCTACTAATCTTATAGTATGCGGATGAATCCAACATAGACTCTTTAGAGAGAGAGTACACCACAATAAATATGTCTTCCCCCAGGTTTATAGGCTGGAGTGATTATTGAATGGAACAATCCAGTCGAATTAATGTGAATTATTATTATTATTGTTATTATTATTATTATTATTATTTGGGTTTTGATCTAAGATTTACCGGACGTTAAGCCGAGCCGCGCTACTAACAAGGTATTCACTGAAATGGTTAATTATTTTTGGTTGACTTTTACTTCTTTGTTCTTGTTAAGTATTTATTTACGGTTTGTAATTGAATAGTGTTTTATTTTAACATTGAAGTCTTGAGTTATACTTAATCATTAACGTCCACCGTACGTCACAAAACTAGAATTGATGGGAATTTCCTCCATTAAATTTTCTTTAAAGTAGTGTGGAAAGTCAAAATTTTGATTATATCATTATTTTTCCCTTCTAGTTACATGTGCTGCCCATTTGAATTATTGCTGTTTGAAGTGTTCAAGTTATATCGTCTCTTCCATCTGGAAAAATTATTCGTCTGTGATTCTATAGTGCCATTTCGTAAAATCTGAAAACGTTTGTATATAGCTGATAGTCTAGACATTTCCGAATGAGATGGACACGAGATTTCAATATATATTCAAGTCTAAATCCCATGAGCTTATTTGAAATCATGACTTGTGTTCATATATTAATATTTTAATTTCGTAGCATCTTACGGTGTTGGATAAAAGTACCCCAATCCCAACCCATCCTGTATTCATTTTACATATATCCCCTATACAAAATTTATTGTAACTGACCAATACACCGAGGTATTTGTTAAGTTCACATTCTCAAAGGAATCGTTATGTATTAGTAACATTCCCATTCCTGACCGTTGACTATCCATTTCGAATTAAGTTTATGGCCACATCATTTTAAAACCCCGGTTCTCGTACGATCACCAAAGTTAAGCAATATCGAACCCGATTAATACCTAGATGGACGATTGCTTGGGAATATCAGGTGCTGTAAGCAGGGATGATATAATGATAACGGCTTCAAATTTCAATTCGACGTGCTGAATTTGTGATTAAGGACATACGTTTCTGTAATATTCGCTAGCTTTTCTATTTTAGTGTAGGTAATTGAACACGACTCTAATTCGTCTCTCCGATCTCCAAGCCACTATCCATGGTATCAGCATGTGTTTACTTGATGTCAATTTTAGGTCTTTCCATTCAAGATTTTATAAAACATTAAATTTTATTAATCATTCTGATAATACTAAACTCATTTTTTTTTTTTTTTTTATAAAAGTAAATTCTCTCTATATAATTGTAATTTCTGTATGTAACTTTTTGCTGTACGAAAATTAGCTCCCTTAAGCAGCAGTGTCTTTGTTATGACAATGACTGGATCCCTACACGCAAGCCGCTAGTGGCCCTCTGGTGGCAGCGACCGTAGCGCCTCTAGCGGCCCGGCAGTGGTAACATTGCCGAGACGAGTACATCGGCGGTCCGACAGCGGGCCACCAACGGTAAAACCTAGTAACATGCCACCCAGTGGCTGATTGGTGGCTTGCGTGTGGGGTTGTTCTTATGTGTTTATGAAGACGGGGTGAAAAATAAACTGATTCTGTGCAATAATTATAATGGTAAAATATTTTTGAAAATATAATTGGAAAAAATTTAAAACGTCATATGTGATCTGTCTATATTTCTGAGATGAGGTATTATGTACAATATTTACATTATTCGGACTATTGTCTTCATCTTTGTCGCCATATTTATTACAACGTTTCGGCTGTTGTACGCTCCGGCCTTCTTCAGGTGGTTGGAATGTCAAACTGAACCCTTTAATTCACTCGCTGTGGTAGACTGTACCTCAAGGATAAAAGCGTTAGTTAGATCCAGTGACAGGACTCAAAGAGTGTGAGTTCAAAACCTGGTTAAGGCAGTGGAGAACTTGGAGAGGTGAATTAATAGGAGATAACTGATAACTGTCAACCATTAAACATGGCACGTGGAACTAGAAGAGTCTAGAGAGAAATAAAAGGTTCAGTTCGACATTCCAACCACCTGAAGAAGGCCGGAGCGTACAACGGCCGAAACGTCGTAATAAATATGGCGACAAAGATGAGGACAATAGTCCAAATAATGTAAATAGTGCTTATATGGGATAACCTAAAAATGGTAACAGATATATCGTCATTTTTACAATATGTGTAGACTAGTATTAATATAACTATCTATTGGACATAAAGCAGGGAATCGGAAATCCAACGCACAAAGCAACAGTCACGGGCAAGCCGACGGACGTAAACAGAAAAATACACAACCTCCTAATTCGGGAACATCATCTGCTTTTATCGACGGAACAATTTCTTCATTGGTCGATAAGTGGGAGAGGACACACAGTATTAGCACATCCTAGATGCATTTATGGCAACACCTGCCACTGACTTGGGTCTGTTTTGGTTATTTTGTTTTCGGCATATCGTACAGATTGCACGTGCCCCTATTGTCGTTCGCCACAGATTTCTATTGTTATTATTTAATAAACAGATCCTGCTAAAATTACTTCGTCTTTTATGCGTCGTGCCCTTTCATGTCGTGACCGACCATTGCTCTCTACAATTTCCTGCTCTTTTGTAACTCTTAACAATGTGTGTCTTTTTAGTTACCCTTCCAGTCCATTTTCTGCCATCCATTTTACCCAAGCTTGTTAGATAAGTTACTCGATATATGCCCTATGGGTACCAAATTCTTCAAGCCCTTTTCCCTCGTTGTTTCCCAGACATGCCGACTTTCTCTTTCGGATTCTAACTACAAATGTCCTTTTTGTTGGCATTTTCCTTAAAATTATTTCGTTGCCCCATATTCCGTCCGTAGTCTCCCTGCATCCTTTTTTCAGACCCACATTTTTGTTGCCTCAATTCTCTTCTTTATCTGAAAAGAAATTACCCAGCATCCAGGGACATATCGGCGGTTTTGATATTACATAGCAGTTAAACATTCTTTATTTCTAGCGAATTTTTCGTGTTCCTTAATATTGTGGTTAACTTTTGGAAGGCATCATTCACTACTTCAATGCGCATGTTAAAAATTAAAGAAAATATACACTATAGATCAAAAGTTTCGGGGAAACCCTGGTATATATGTGAGACATGATCATTATTAGAAATTTTATTATGACTAAAAGAAAAAAGTATTTCATAATTAAATTTTGCTCTCGTCAAAATATCCTCCTTTATCTTTGACTACTGCAGCACAAATGTTTAGAAAAAAAGTTTGATAGTTGATTCCATTCTTTTTTCAATGACCTTAAGAGCACTTTTCATTTTTTTTTTCACTCTTCTGTCAAGATTATCCTAAGATCATTCTGGAAATGGCTTCAAACTTTGAACTCTAGTGTATCTAATATATATATATATATATATATATATATATATATATATATATATATATATATTCGTAAATCGAATCGAGTTCTCTCAGTCACTGTGTGTTTGTCTAAAAATAAATACGCTTGAATTCACCTTCATCCCTGCCGTGCGCCAACGGCTTAGTGGTAGAATCCCCGACTGACGCCAATTCAGTCGGGTTTCAATTCTAGATAGAGCCAACCAAACGTCTTGCCACACTTAGGATTTGTAATACAGCGAAACATTCTGTCTATGTATGACTATATATATATATATATATAATAAAATTTGTGTATTTAGGCAGCAATCTTTCTTATTTTAACAGTTAAAATATTTAATCCTTGAAAATGGCTAAATGTATAGCCGAAAGCCCTCGTATAAAAAGAACATTCGGACAGTTTTTATATAATTTATCATCCGAAAAGAAAAAAAAAATTAGATCGCATGAGAAATTGTATAAAAAACTAAATAAAAGCACCTTGTCTATTGTTTTCAATGAAATGTGCACACACACACACACACATATATATATATATGGCATGGAATGTTGACGCAGCTTATCTTTATATCTGTGCCAAGGACTAACAACATTACCATGACCACTGTGGAGTTGAGTGTAAAAAAGAACATCAAGTACTTTGAAGAAGTAGCTATGAAGAGATCAGAGTATCGTCCCAGCTGCTATGCAGGAATAACGCACCATCAAGCGGTAAACATCATTCCACTGCGTAAAACACAAAAGAGAAATAAAACAGCTAAGTATTCCTTCTGCACTTATATGCAGTACTCTCTCCTGTCCTGTTTGTTGTCTTTTGTGCAATTCCCGAGCCTGCCTCAGAAGTCTTGCCCGTCACAGGCATGCTGATAATTAGCAGGTGGTCGTCGGAACCTCATACGTTGATTTCGAGCGGAGAGTCTATCATATATATATATATGATATATAAATTTTATACAGGGTTATAAATCCTACATAATTTTAAGACATTAGTAGCATTGCTGTCTTCATCTAGTTAACGTCTTCACATTATGTGGGGAGGGGGCATATTTTTGCTACATGCTTCATATACCAAAACAAATTTTAGGCAAATCAATCACAAGAAACTTAATAATAGAAGTGATAAATACAAAAACAAAAGCATGAAGTAAAAAACTAAATTGAATATACTGTATACTCAGACATTTAAAAAAATTAAATGTAAAATAATACAATAGTTTTAAGAATTTTTATTAAGACAAAAAGAGAAAAAGCATTTTATGATTATATTTTGCTCTCGTCAAAATATCCGCCTTTAGTCTTGATTACTGAAGCAAAATTCTTTGGCGTTTGTTGCAAAATTTTCTCAAAGTATAAGTTTGATGAATGATTCCGTTCTTTTTTCAAAGACTCTAACATCTCTTTTCCATTTCTTGGGATGGAAAAAATTCACTCTTCAGTCAAGTTCATCCCATGCTAATTATCGGGGTGGCTTCAAACGTTTGAACTTTACTGTATATAGAAATGAAAACAGCCTGTCGCATCTGAATGTTGACTTCAATTTTCACTTTTATATTTATATACGCTCTATCTCTAATATCTGATATTGAGCACTTTATCCCAGACATATAACACACCTTAAAACTATATTTTTTCATAACACACACACACACACACACATATATATATATATATATATATATATATAGAGAGAGAGAGAGAGTTAATAAAGTTATTTGGTAATACATATGGATATTTCCAAGGAGGGTGTAATCCAGAGAGCTCAATGTTGAACCGAGCAAATAAATTTTTAAAAAATATGTCAGTTTTTAAACCTGGAAAAATTAGTCACCAATATTTTTGTATGAAAATGGCGATCTGATGAATTAGGATGAAAATCTCGGTCCTAAGGAAATAATTTATAATCACATGAACCCTTAAATTTGTCTGTTTCTTAATATATATATATAATTATTTATTTAAAAATATGATTCCAACACGCTACATAAGTTCTTTCCTATTTTCTATATATTTTTCACATATATATATAGTGTCATTTGTTATGTCTGCAGCAAAGAACGTTCGTACACTGTACACTTCCAAAACATGTCTTACGCCTTTCTAATTCAAAGGCCATGTATAAATGAAGCGCTCATTGACGATAATATTTTCTATGTTCAAAGAATACAAAAAGCGGAGATTAGAACGCGTGTATTGCATCGGGCCCTGGAAATAGGCGGAAAGATTAGGCTAAAGTGTTTTTTTTTTTCATGTCGGACATTCAAATGACTTCACTGCATATAAACTCAAAATGAGGGACACTTCAATGTGGTGTAAAAGTTAGCAAGGTTCTCTCGCTAGATTAATTACGACTGAAAAGTGATTTCAATCCTCACTGAATTCCCCACCTGCGTTCGGCCTTGTGCCACATCTAATCACGATAAACTGGAACTGAGACCATGAAACAGTGAGCATTTTGCCACCGTGGAGTAAACAAGCTTGCTTAGCGGTAGTTAATTTGTAATGGTCCGTGTCATAGCAGACGGTGGCTTGCTTTGAGTCGGGCGGTAGTTCGAATTACGAAGACCGCACTTCTCATTGGCAGGTCGTTTTAACGCAACTTTTCAGTCATTAT